ACACTCCTTTTTCTATAGGCTCATAGCTGCATATTTGCAGTGCAAGATCTAAGCCATATTCTACACACGATCGATTTTGATAAATACTGTTTTCACAAGATCTGGAGTGTCTGCCTGAGCACTGCAGTGACATTTGGCGATGTTAATCCATTGCTGCTGCATCATTTTAGAATCAGGCACAAGCCTACAGCTCTGCTCCACACTGTGGCATCCAAGTTCTAAACATCTTGTTCAGGTTTTTAGCCCTGAAGAGGGAGAACCCTGAAATGAGAAGGCTGTATTTTTAATCTTCAGCTATAAACCCCTAACGTTTACAAATTAAAGTCTTAAAATCTTATATTAAGTCACTCCTCACCCACCCACGGAACCATATCTCTTTGTAATGATAAAAGGCAGCATGTGCCAAGACTAAAAATGACAGATATGAACACCCTCTTTGACAACTTACTGAATTTGGTAGGACACTGGCATAATAAATGCTGAAGTTGTAATTTGAAGGCATTCACATGGACACTGCTATATTGGCCTGTGCACTGACAACTTTTTGCCATGTAGATGGATCATACAGGCTTATGATTTCAACTGACCTCTGGGCAAAAAACTGAATGACCAATTAAATATATGTGGGGAGCCGTTTTACCTGTCAACAAATATGTAATTTTCTGCAGCCAAACCCATAGACAGCACAGCCAGGTTGGTGAATTCACTTTTCTCTACCACAGTTATAGTGTATGTAAAACCTTGCAATTTATTTGCTGGAGTGGGGCTGTTAGTATGTTAGCTGCAGTGCAGTGCGTTTGACGCGTTTGCGTTTCCTGACCGTACAAAATGTGACAAGCAGTATTTTTCTGTCGTAACCTGAACGGAGTGCGCATGTGACAACTGTAGCCCATAAAACACATAGGGATATATTGGGATGCATTTTTAGTGCAGGAGCGTACGGATCAGGTCAGCACACAAAATGGACGTCGTGTGAACAGGCCCTAAGGCTGGGTTCACACCTGAGCCTTTAATGCTCGTTTTTCAGCTCTTTTACGCGTTTTTTCCTTCAGTGAAGCGCGTTTCACTGGCGGTATTGTTTTTTTCCCCCTTTATTTTCTCTTAAATTTATTTTTTTAGTTTCACTTTTAAACTTCCCGCCGGCTCCGCCCCCTGCGACGCGGCCGCTCGCAAGGGACGGAACCCGGAAGTCGGCAGCCGCCGAAGACACATCGGGGATCGCGGACAAGGTAAGACATGTACGCTGTATTCCCGAGGTTGGCTTTGTTAACCCCGATCCACACTCGGGAATACCAATGGAAACGCACGGCAAAACGCCCCAAAAGAAGCTCCTGTACTTCTTTGGGCGTAGGGCGTTTTGCAGCACGTTCCTACGCACTGTAAAAGGCCCAGGTGGGAACCATGCCCATAGGCAATCATTGGTTTTCACATGTTGAGCGTTTTACAGCGTGTAGGACGCTGTAAAACGCCCAGGTTCGAACCAGGCAGTTTTAGGCACATACATTAGTTGCATTTAGAAAAGTAATCATTTTTGGATATATGACCATTTTGTTTTATATTTACTTTTGCTTCAAAGCTGAACTCCAGGCACAGTGTGTTTACAGAGAGCACATATATGGATTATTGCAGTGTATACCTTAAAGTTTTGAAACAACTATTGTATTTTTACCAGCTTGGTCTTGCATACTTTTGCAGTTTTACAAAAAAACATAGAAATATATAGATAGTCCATGTTGAGATAAAATATCAAATACATGAAAAGGGGAAGGTTGGCTACTGGCTGGTAAACAGCTTGTATGTTATTGTGAAAAGTAGTAAAGCTTTACCAATGTGTAGCAACCCAAAGCAAGAAACAGAGCCTGAATATTATGAGCTAATACTGTTTGACAAAAATATTACAAAACATGAAAAATCTTTTTGAAACATGAATATACATTGGTAAGATTATCTACATCAAGCCTATCCATCTGAATGAACCAACATTCCTATCTAAAAAATATTGAAGGGAAAAAAAAAAAAAGGGACCAAACATTTCCTTAAGAGCTAAACTTTGTTGCTAGGGAAACATATATAAATATCAATGAAGATTTACCCTTCCAGTGGGTCCCCCCTCTCCAGTGCAAGGGATGGGGAAGGTTTAGCGAAATGTAGGCAGTGGGATGACTTTTAGCAATGTATGTTTCTGAAGTGATCACAAGGCTGAAGCTCAGTACTGAACCCATCATTGATGGTTCCTATAATCTAAGGCACAGAATCATACAGCTATAAGGAACAGACTCATCTCATGTTAAAATTTCTGTTCTGCAGACATGTACATATGAAATGCACGCAGGCTAACTGTTAAAAATAAAAACAATATCCCAAATGAAACAAAACGGCAAACGCACTCATCAATTCATAACTAGCGTTAAAAGGTGCACATGGAAGGGCTTTACACAGTACTTCAGCTGCCATTGTGATGTGCTAAGCTCCTTGTGTGTCCCTGTGCCTTTTAACCAGTTGACATCCGCGGTGTTAAACCCCCTTCCCATCCAGGCCATTTTTCAGTATTCAGCGCTGCGGTACTTTGACATTTATTCCGTCATGCAGCGCTGTACTGAAATGAATTTTATACCCTTTTTTGGGGACAGATAGAGCTTTCTTTTGGTGGTATTTATTCACCACTGGGGTTTTTATTTTTTTTACTATATTAAGGAAAAATCACCGAAAACATAAAAAATATATAAATACATACATACCGTATTTTGCGCTCCATAAGGCACATAAGTCGCAGTTTGCGTAGTTCCAGACAGTCTGTGTACTGTGTAGTTCCTGACAGCTGAGACAGGTGGCGCTGTAATTACAGCGCCATGGTCCCAGTGATCACACAGAGCAGACAAAGAACGGACGTTCGTCGTCTGCTCTACGAGCTCTATGGTGAGCTCCTATGCAGTGGTCATGGGTCCCCCAGAGGAGCAGTGGGACCCCGAAAACAAGGGCCGGGGGAGGGCGGACAGGATCGCCGCTGCTCCTTTCATACAAGTAATCTAATCAGATCACCTGTATGAAAACGAGCGGCGGCTCCACATTATACATGTAGCTCTGCTTGTCAAGAGCAGGGCTAAATGTACAAAAAACTACTCGCCCGGTGGCCGAAAAAAGTGCATCTTATGGAGCGAAACACACACACACAATCTCTCTATATACACACTCTCCACTATACGGCCCCCCCGTTCACACTGAGCGATTTATCGTGCGGTAATTCCCGCGATATCGCGGCTATTTACCGCGCGATATCGCTCTCCAATGCTTAGCAATGGGGCAAAGGGTCCTGCGTCGCTACAGCAGGACCCTTTTTGGACCGGATTGTGCCGCGATTCTAGCTTCCTCAATGCAAGCATTTGCGCGATAGCGTGCAAAATGCAAATTGCGCAATTAGAGAATCGCGCAGTGTGAATGGGGCCTACAGAGGGGCCTTGACTTGGCAGTGCGGATTCCACATGTTGTGCAACTAAAACCTCTGTTTGTAACCTTAGTAGTCAGACTGTGTTCGTTTTTTGCAGGCTTGCGAGAGTGCTGGAAATGTAGTTTTTTGTCCTGGATAAAATAAGACACTTCTTGCTGCCAATTTGTTAGCAGACAAAATGCATGGGTCAGCACACTGCAAGAGCTGAGCTCATCAATATGTCCAAATAAAATGCCTGCTCTTCTAAAATGCAAATTTGACCACAATTCTTGGAGCCAATCAAATGCTTTCCAATGTTTTCTAACAAGGTTAAAGTTCAGATTTAAGTAAAGAAAAATAAAATAGTGCAAGCGAAACAAGCTCAAAGAAATTGCAGATTACGTTTTGTGGGACTAGTCTGGTTCGGGGCAAACCATTATCTGTGCTATAAAGTTGCCTTAAAGTGTATTTCCACTTCGCAGCCAAACTGGAATATCATCTTTTTTATATGTGTTACATTAAAAAAAATGCTTTTTGCAGTTTTAATTGCTTTTACTTGGGTTAGGGTTTCTTGCAGGTTAAAATTTCTACTCGATTCTTTCTGATGTTAGGTAGGGTTTGTTCATCACAATTTGTAAAGTAGATTTGCCTGTCCTAATAAAAAATTACAACCCTGGCTTGTGCACTGCATCGTAATGAAGTTCGTGAGAGAAACAGAATAATCACATTTCAGTCCTAAGTCTTTCTATATGGACAGATCACTGTGAATGTGTTCAGAAAAACCAGATTTTAGCAATGTTGACTGCTGCAAAAAAAACATCCAATTGCAGTGTGTCGCTGTGGAAGAGTTCTTCTTGTTCCTAGACACGTCCCTCCTAGGTGAACCAATCAATGTAATCAGAAACCAGAGTGGAGTGGGTACACATATGAAAACTCATGTAGGTCTACAAGAAAGGAGTATGGCTAGGCACTGTCCCATGTGTCTACTGTCTCTATTTAGGACTTGTATATTAAAAGCACATTGTTTACTGTTTTGCTTCGTCAGTGAAGCTGTGTTAACGAATCAGCCAAGATTTAAAGTGGAACTGAACTCAAGATTTAAGACATGCTATGATAAAAGGGAACATTTTGAAATGTTAATTGTGTCTGCGCAGGACCATAACCAAAACGTATCTTTTATCCAGAATTCTTCCTGGAATATAGCAGTGCACTTCCTGGTACGCGAGTTTACATAAACACTCTGGTGCCTAAGCCTCAGTTGTATATCTGCAGCGTGCGATTAAGGCACTGCTGCCTTACTGCTTATGAGATTTAGTGATGTTACTACTGTGCTGCTCACGGAATTTTCTGGGGCTGTAAAATGAAGCAAAGGCCCTGCCCAGTAATCAGAAAAGATAAGCTGCAGAGAGACTGCAGGCAATATTGCTGACTAGTCTTTTGTCTTTTTGAGCACAGCATTTAGTTCAGTTCCTCTTTCAATTTTAAGTAAAGATCCACTTTATATCCGCTCATTGGGCTTCTCTCACAGCAACTACAAATACTTTTCTAGAGAGGTTTTACATGATACCAGACTTACAATTCAGGTCAGTATATTTGTTCTCCAGAGCTTGGACGTAAGATTCATATTGCTTCCACCTAGGATTTGGAGGAAAAGAAAAACATTTTAATTGCTTTCAAATAATGTCACTATAACCAGCACACGATTATTGGGATTCAAAATTCTGTAAAAACGTAGCAACTATTTTATCCTGTAGACATGCCTGCAGTCCCATTACCTGACATTCTCTCCAGTACACACTGTACTTGGTTTTCTTTAGTCAGGGTATAATAATAATAAAAAAAAAATCAAACACCTTCTGGCTCAGAAGACCTTGCACTTGCAGACAAACTTTTTACAATCTAAACTGTGAGCACGGTTAGCTTCCTTCTTGGCCAAAACACAGCCATAGTTTTTAGCTGTTTTGGGGTATGTATGTCCTGCAGTCTGCTCCCTACTTTTAAAAAACACTTTCAACAGTCTAAGGATGAACACCCCTAATGTCTATCAGGTTTTTTACTCGAGGTATGTGCAGGTACCTCATGGGGTTGGCTTTTATGTTCTTCTATCTTTCAAAGCAACCCAGAAGGCCCTGAACCCACGGCACTCAAACCCAAATTCTAACTTGAAAATCCACATCCCCTCACTAACAGAGATAACAAAATCAGTACATTGCCTAACATTACTTTTTTTGCTAAATCTACTACATCTACAGGGCACCTCGGCAGTATAAGAACAGTTCATTTCATAAAATCTACTTTGCTTCAGTCTTATTAAAGTGTCAAAGTTCATTCTTTACCTGAGAAGTAACTCTTCCCTTGGTAAGACTTTGAAGTCTGCTTCAGCAAGGCGAACCTGATAAGAAAAGACAAACATGAAATATAACTCAATTGGGGGAATAAAATAAAAAAAAAAAAAAAAAAAAAAAAAAAAAAAAAAAGAAAATAGAAGTGACAAAACAGGATTAAAAATACACACGCAAAACACACACTTAACTGACCTTTTTAGGGAGGGGTTCTTCGTTGGTCATTGTGACCTGAAAACAAAGATATTTTAGATTAGTGGACCATGAAATCAGATGTTAATATAGCATAATCAAGCTAGTGAATCAATTCAGACTTCACCTTCTGGGAAAGGAAGTCCCAGTCAGCAGACCACCATGACTACTGGAAAAACTAAAGCATTATGAAACCTAGCAGGTTATGGCTAAATAAATAATTCAACTCTCAAGATATAAAGTGACAAAACAGGATTAAAAATACACACGCAAAACACACACTTAACTGACCTTTTTAGGGAGGGGTTCTTCGTTGGTCATTGTGACCTGAAAACAAAGATATTTTAGATTAGTGGACCATGAAATCAGATGTTAATATAGCATAATCAAGCTAGTGAATCAATTCAGACTTCACCTTCTGGGAAAGGAAGTCCCAGTCAGCAGACCACCATGACTACTGGAAAAACTAAAGCATTATGAAACCTAGCAGGTTATGGCTAAATAAATAATTCAACTCTCAAGATATAGAGAAAATTCCTATTTAAAAAGCCAACTCTACCTATCTGATATATATTAAAAAAGACAGACACTACTGTCATGTCTTATTTCAATGGTCACCATCTATTACTTATGTGACTGCGATAAAGTACGCAAAAAACACACACATTTTCTAAGACCAGTTGACCCTTATGTTTTAGAATGCAATCTTTTACATGTAATCAATGCAGGGAGTGAGTGTGCCTCCTGTATTACATGAAAGTATTCTGGGTTTTCCTTACAGTTCTATACAACAATCATTTTTATTAAAGACGCAATTTAAAAACAAAACAAAAACACATTGGGTAAACTTGCATAGATGTAAACATCTTATTGGCTATAATGATATAGATCTCATTAATGCTTTGGTTTTTACCAATGAACACAGGGGTGTTGAATTCGGCTTCCAGGGAGCCAGCCAGGTTTCGATAGTGTGTTCCAGATGGATGACTGCTCTGGAACGCACTGTTTGTGGTGTGCACTGGCCCTAACTGTAGAGCAAGGGAGCCATTTTGTACAAGCGATCTGGGCGACTGCACAGCCGCCTAGATCACTTGTAAGCAGCCTGCTTGTCCATCCTCTCCACAGTTTTCAGGGTCCCCCACTCTCCTGGGGGACATGAGGCCACAGCAAATTACTTCAGGATGGAGATCGGGGAGCAGAACGTCCGTACTCTGATCTGTGATCATTGAGACAGGAGTGCTGTACTCTCAGCCTTCCTGTCTCAGCTCCACCCTATCTGTACCACCATACTGCCATCCAGCACAGCCCTGCATTATGGATCCGAGTATTGATAGACTGCTTAAGTTTCAGTGGTAAACATCAATTATTGTTTTAACAATTGCCATAACCTTTTTTTACACCTACAGCCACCTCCTGAAGTCTGCAGAGACCTCGAGTTAACATGCCAAATTGCCTGAAATATGGCATTCACCATACCTCCCTGGGTTTACTGCACTAAAACTGGCCATACAACTAGATATTTCCAGTCACACTAAAGGGCACGGATAGAATCTCCTTTGCCAACTAGTGTATTCTGACAGACTGTCTGAAGGACAGATGTGGTCTTTTTACCGGTTCTTGCTGGTGTAACGGCTGGTGGGCCTTAGCACCTAACCTTTGAGAATATGCCTCTATTGTCCTGTGGAAGTGTTCAATTGTGTGCTCCCAGCACAGTGACCGAGCTGCCACACAGCCAATCACATTAATCATGTCATCAGAAAGGCCACTTTCGACTTGTGGCATAAGGATTCTCTTAAAAGGCTGTTGGGAGTTAGAAGCCAGGGGGGTTAACCAGCTCGATTTCTCCCATGACCAGCAATGATGGAGCACGATTTCTCCTCTCAATGTCTCATTTTTTACCCCCACAGACAAGCCTGGGGCACCGTTTACTCCCACTGACCACTGTCACACGGGGATTTTCTACTCCAACTGGCCACAGTCTGTTCCCCCTCAAGTCTGATGGGCAGTAAACTGGTTGATTGTTACAACCCGAGACAATTGGACACTCATTTAGATGAACATGTAGTGCACTGGAATGGCCTCTCATTAACAGCAGAAGGTGCATATCTGCAATAAAGTTTTCAAAAATGCATACCATATATACATATGAAGATTAGTTTTCCCAAAACCTATTCCATTAAATATGGTAGAAGTTCTTAAGCTATGCTTCTCATCGTGTATGTTTTGGATAATTGTTCTTAGAGACGTGGGAAAACTGTCCACTATGCACCGTGGAGCTCATGTGCATATCGGGTATTAAAGGAGAAGTATGAGATGAGTGCTTTTCACTCACCTCATAGTTCTAGCCGACCTGTGACAATGAGACTGTCACAGGTCGGCTCAGTAGATCGGGAGGTGAGCGAACACATACCGGGTTCGCTCGCCTCTCGATCCTGTCACGGCTCTCTGCCGTGACAGGGGGAGGGGCTGGATTCCCCTCTCCGATCTGCCAGCGCTGACTGGCGGAACGGACGGGGGAGGGTACAGCTGGCTCTGCCTCTAGATAGGCAGAGCCAGCTGTCACTCACACAGCTTGGCGGATCCCGTCATCTAAGTCGTGATCCGCTCCGGCGTCTCAGTATACCGCGAGCTGTAGCTCGCGGTATACTGAGCTTAGGGTAACGGGAGGACGCTAGTTTGTGTCCTCCCGTTACCCTAAGGAGAACTATGGGGAAAAACACTGACCCCATAGTTCTCCTTTAAGGGATCTACAATGAGCCTGATAATGTGTTTGACAGATCAGATGTTACAATAAGACTTAGTCCAAGCTTCAGGAATATCAGAACTTTCATTATCTATACTGTATACTACACTACAAGACAAAAATAGAAAGGCTGTCAAGGGAGAAGGTTGTTTATCTGAAATGATTCAGTCCTTTGTGCCCTGTCCGTTGGCATGACAGCTGCACCACGTAATTAAAAACTGCCATTTAAACAGATACCTTCTAATTAGATAACCTGGATAGATGGAACACAAACCATGCAACGAATTAAAAAGGTATGATCAGCTAGTACTATCAAAATGCTGACATTTCCAAATTACACAACCATTAGGATTACATATAAATCACAAATGCTTCCTGCTTGCAATATAAAATGAAGGCAGCAATTCAATTTCATGAGATATTTAGAGGGGAATTGTCAAATATGGAGTAGCTGTACATGAAAACCAATCTCCCTTTCATTTTCAAACCTTAACGGAACAAACTGAAGAGAGTTGGTGATTGGTTGCCCTGGGCAACTGCTCCATTTTTGATAAATTCCCCCCCTTAGTTTTTTTTAGTTCACTGAAATGGTATTACCAGAAAACCCCACACTGTAAATTATCTGTCACTATGTATACTGAAGAAAGTAGATACACTCACCAGCCACTTTATTAGGTACACCTTGCTAGTACTTATTAATGCAAAGAGCACAGATTCACAGCAAAGTGCTTAAAAAAGTAATGCCACTACAACTACAAGAACTCTCCCTTGTATAATAAACTGCATACCACACAGGGCCAGAAGATGTACTGGGTGAGAGTGAGAGAGTGAGATTTCAGACCACTGAAAATAGGAAGAAACAATGAAGAATATTCTAATGCCGGCCAAGCACAGAAATTTTAATCACAAGAACAGCTGAACGTATGAAGGCCACCTACCACCATCACTTTAAGGCCCCATTAACACTAAGCTGATTGCCGCACGATTTCCACCGCGATATCGCACATTTTTTGCCGCGCGATATCGCGAGAACTTGCCGGCCAATGATTTTCAATGGAGCTGTCTTAATGTACAGCTCCATGTCGCCTGCAGAACCCTTTTTTGTCGGATGTCGCCCAATTTTTTTAATAGGTCGCGCTACCGTCGCCCCGAAAGTCACGCTATCCCGGCCGCGCGGATCCGCTCCAAAAGGTATGTCGCTTAGTGTGAATGGAGCGCTAATGTGATCAGAAAAAAGGGTCCTGCAGGCGCGATTTGCGACCGCAACATGGAGCTGTACATTAAGACAGCTCCATTGAAAATCATTTGCCGGCGATATCACATGGCAATCCGCTTAGTGTGCATGGGGGCCTTATCATGTATTTAAAGCTCAAGTCCAGAATTTCCTCCCTACCACAATACATGTTGTCTGTTAGAAAATCACAACAGCACTGTCAGTTTTGTGACTAATGCCTCATATTGTCAAATACAGTTAATTTGCAGGATCTGTGACATCACTCCTCTTCGCAGCCGCTGTTCCAACTTCAGACCACACTGAGGAACTTCCTGCTGGTTTTGTAATGCCTGGAAACTGAGGTCTCATTGATCTAGGGCTGATCGGTATGACTGGGTGGGAAAGAATGCAAAATGTGATCTAAAAAAAAATCCCCCCCAGCATCAGTGTCGGGAGTGTGTGGAAGTCACCTCTATAATCTAAAGGGCTACAGTGGGGAGTCTATGCCTTGGCTTCCCCAGGAAATGGCTGTTCTACACTTGGAAATAGGTCAGTATCCCAGGGAAGAAGAAAAGATGAAGTATGGTGACATGTGATAATGTACAAAAGCAACAAAATAAAAATAAAGTATTTATCAATGCCTTCATTTTTTTTTGGCGGGAAAAAAAATGTTGGAGCTCAGTTTTAAAGGTGGTAGGCTTTTTAATGTCTTAATTAGAAATGCACAGATACCAAGTACAGTACTTAGTACAAGCAAAAGAACAGATACTATTCCAGCTACTAGACTAGGGAAAAACTCAAAAGTTAGGAGTTAGATTTTGGTTAATAGTTAAAAGGTACTTGAATGCGTTTTTAAGATTTAACTCTTTTAGGGTCACCAAGGAAACATTGCCATTTTTTGTACTTGCAGCAACATTTTTTTTCATTGTAGTCTAGTCCATGTAGTGATTCTTGGGCATACATGTAAGGCTAGGTTCAGACCCCAATCGATACCAGGACGTGCTTCCTGGGACCACGCAGCCCCATTGATTTCAATGGGGTTATATTCGTACGGCAATCACAAAAAAAAAAAAAAGTACCTTTTTTGTGTGACATGGCTTTTTTTTATAGCCGCAATCATGTTCAAATCGCATGGGTGGAATTGTGGCGGGAAACAGCGCAATGCGCCTAGTGCGACATTAAAAAGTAATGGCACTGACGGCACGTTGGCCGATGACCATAATCGTCTGGCAATGCGCGCGCTTTTGTGCACAATTGCCGCGCGGTCACGGATTGCCCAGGTGTGAACCTAGCCCTATACTGCTGCCTTCAGAAGGCTTGCACACTGGCAAACAAAGCAAAGCCAGCCCCTGTATACTGCCACCTCCAACC